CATAACCATAACCCTGTGAGCCACTTCCTGATAATAAAGTCAGCCTCTCTCTCATCCTCTCTCCTCTCTCTCTCTCTTTCTCTTTGGAAACGATATAACTAAGGTAAGATTACACACCCATGGGCATTACCCTCATCCACAAGAATTAAATTCTGAGAGGCCCTCAGTGACCTTTAAAACTGAGGACATTACCAAACCCTATATATACTGTATTTTTTCTGTACATTCATATTGTACAGTGTGGATACACTAGATAAAGGGTGGGATGGAGCAGGACACAAGATTTCATCACACTACTCAGAGTGGGACACAACTTAAAGCTCATGATTGATATTCATGGAATTTTCCATTTGGTATTTCAGCCCATAGTTCCCTGCAGGTAACTGAAACCACAAAGAGCTAAATAGAAAGTAAGAACAAACAAAAACCTCAGAGAAGGTGTGACTTCCGTGTACACAGACACACATATACATCCTATTGGTTCTCTTTCTCTAAAGAACTCAGATGAATACAGATTTTTTTTTTACCAAGAGTGGTTCCAAAGGAATGGAATTTGAGGATAAGTTTTCTGAATCTTGAAAGTGTTCTGAGTTGGTTTTAGGATTTCTGAAATTGGCTTTCCCACCTGATTAAAGACACTAATGACTCTCTCCAGTAATAATGAGAGCACTGATTGTCTCTGGTGTGATCTGGCACTAAAGAGATGGGAAATATTTCCATGAGACATCCCTAATCAAGAAGCAAGGAGATGGGTTGTGTATGACACTTTTGAACATATTTGGAAAAGAAACGATATAACAAGATTAATTGGTTGCTCCTAATGTTGTTAGACTGTGGGAAAGGCCCTGCCGTCATCCTCTTCTTTTGTGAAGCTCCTCTGGGCCTGCTCCTGGGCCTTAGCAGAAACTGAGTGCTTACCCATGGGCCACCAAGTTACTGTGTGACCTGAGCTGCTGGTCATTTGCTGGGTGTCATCGGACCCATCAGGCCACAAATCTGGGCATGTACGTTAACACTCCACCATCAGATGAAAGTGGCATATACACAACAGGGGCAGAGCAAGCTTTGGGCACAAGCAAACTGTCTCCTGGGAGGTCCCTGCAATGAGCTGACTGGGGAAGAGAAGATGCTGCCTGGTTTAGGGACGGTCCTGTGTGACATGCAGGTACCACGTGAAATCACTCTCAGTTGCAGCATTAAAGTCCCCTTCTGGGGGCTCGGCGCCTGTGGCTCAAGCAGCTAAGGCGCCAGCCACATACACCTAAGGTGGCGGGTTCGAATCCCCAGCCTGGGTCCGCCAAACAACAATGATGGCTGCAACCAAAAAATGGCCGGGCGTTGTGGCGGGTGCCTGTGGTCCCAGCTACTTGGGAGGCTGAGGCAGGAGACCCGCTTGAGCTCAGGAGTTGGAGGTTGCTGTGAGCTGTGATGCCACAGCACTCTTACCCAGGGCGATGGCTTGAGGCTCTGTCTCAAAAGAAAAAAAAAAAAAAAAGTCCCCTTCTGGGGCTGTAAGTTCCCTAACAGACACAATGGTAAAGAGAAATCCCAGCGGGCAGAACTTCAAACAGTGTACCTGGTTGTTCACTTTGGGAGGAGAAATGCCCACCTGAGGTAAGAAGGAACCCCCCCCACCAGGAGAATGCCTTGTGTGCGAACCACAACTAATCATCTTTCTCCACAGCTATTTTCTATCCTGCTATTCCCAGTATTTCTTCTATTCTTATAAATCATTAAGACCTTACTATGTGCCAGGCACAGTTCTCGGTGGTGCAGATAGAATAGTGTATTTAGAGTAAGCTAGCTCATATCACAAAAAAGTCCAAATTTCAGTAGCTTTAATTAACAAATGTTTATTTCTCACATTACTATTAAATGAAGCTCAGTGTGGCTAGATGGGGCTTATATTTGCCACCGTAGACATGAGCATCTTTCCTTTAGCGTCTGTGCCTTAGACATTCCCTAGGACTGGAAGATGAGGAAAGAGATTAAGGAGAATTTGCTGAAAGTTTCTCACATGACTTTACCTAACTGAAAGGGACACTGGAAATGTCAACCAGGGCTCCCAGGAAGAAAAGGAGATGGATGTGGGGAGCTTCCAGCCCATGTCTGCAACCAGCTATGAATGAGACTGAGCCCCTGCGTGTAGCTTATGGTCCAGTGTGGAGAGAGAAGACAGGAAGAGAATGTACAGCAGTGTATACATTGTGATGACCGTGCAGAGACGCATCAGGGCCGGGGAGCTGGAGAGAGTGAAGAAGCTATCGTCTATCATCGGTTCTAAGAACTTTCTTCTCCCACATTTTAATAGCCCTGAAATTACGATGCAGCTTACAAAATTATCAAGCCACTGATAGTGTTTTGCTGTCTTTGTTAACCCAAAATAATAGTGCATCTTACTGTTACTAAAATGCCATATTGTTGTAGTTTGTTGGGGTTACTATAAGAAAAGACTGTATACTAAGTGGCTTATACACAACAGAAATTTATTCCTCACAGTTCTGGACTTAAGGTATCCAAGGAGAAGGCACCAGCAAGTTCATGGTCTGGTGAGGGCCAACTTCCTGTTCCGTAGACAGTGCCTTTTCACTGTACTTCCAGCGGTGGACGGAGTGAGTGGTCTCTCTGTGGTCTCTTTTGTAAGGGTGCCAATCCCATTCCTCATGATTTAATCACCTTCCAAAGGCCCCATCTCCTAGTACCATCCCAGTAAGGGTTAGGATTTCAACATACGAATTTGGGGGGGACAGAACATTCACACCACAGTGCATATGAAATTAGATGTTATGTATAGGGTCATTGGAGAATGCCTTTCTGCAAGGACATATCATCAGAGATCTGAATGAAGAGAGAGATCTAACCATATTAACACCTGGGGGCAGATAGCTCTGAGCAGAAGAAATAGCAAATGCCACAGAGAGGACCTCGCTTGGGATGTTCAGGGAGAGCAAAGATGGTGGCAGCCAGGTAGAGCAGGTGAGGTGGAGAATGGTAGAAAAGCAGCCAAGTGATGGGTGACCTTCAACAAGTAATTTACTGAACAGAGCCTCTTTATTAAAGATAATAGCATCTACCTCAAGGGCCAAGGGCGTGTGTAAGAATTAGGTAACAACATGGTGAAGCAGAGGAACAGACGTGGCAATGACCTTGCTCTCTCCTCCCTTCCCTTCCCTACCCCCAGGTGAGAACCAATCACTTATCTTTTAGCAGAGTCCTGACAATAATATGTTATGGTTTCTCTAATATAATTTTAGGCTTCAAATCTTAAGCTTTTAATTAACACCCTCATCTATTCAGCCACATTGCTTCCTATTAACTAACAAAAGCTGTACTTAAAATCTTCTGGATCTTTTTCTCAACGGAAGGCTCTCTAAGTGAAAAACTAGATAAAGCTCAATTTTATTTTTTAAATATGAAGCACTCACTCTTTTTTTTTTTTTGCATTTACTATATATGTAAACTTGACAGAAGGAGAACAAGGAGATGGGTGAGAAATGAGAGATTACTAAATCTTGAAAAGGCTCTTCTATTTCTGTTTAAAATTGTATCCCCAACTACCCTGGCTTCATTGTGATACCCCCATTTATTCTTCTGTCTTTAGTTATTGATTTTAATTCACTACAAATAAAAACAAAGTTTTGGTGCTAAAATCCAACATTCTAGCCAAGTACACTACTGATCAAATGAAACTGTAACTTGGTCCAGTGACCTTTGTAGTTAAATGAAATTTAACTACAATTTTAAATTTTTTCTCTGAGATATTCAGGCCCGATTCCAAACACTAGGTCACATTTCAATCTTACCTTAGTTATATCATTTCAAGGGCAACAAAATTTTATATACACATAAGGTGTCACATGAGCTTTAACAAATGAAAACTTTGCAATTTACTGCTTTAAAAGATCACCATTGTTTGTTTTTTTAAATTTTATCTCAGAATGTTACTGGAATACAAATATTTGTGTTACATGCATTACTGTTGTACAGTTTGAATCAAGATTATAACTGTGTCCATCCCCCAGACAGAGTGCACTGTACCCACTAAGTGTGAATTTACCCATGCCCTCTCTCACCTGCTTGATTTCCATTGAATTTTACTATCATTCATATTTAGTTCCAATTTAAAAGCAGATGTAGTGTTTGTTTTTTCATTCCTATAATGCTTCACTTAAAGGGATGGCCTGCAGTTCTGTCCAGATTGTTATAAAACATATTAGTTCATCATTTTTTATGACTCAGTAATATTCCATGGTATACATATACCACTTTCTATTAACCCATCACATGTATTGATGGGCACTTGGGTTGATTCTACATCTTTTGATTGTGAATTGTGCTGCTATAAACATTCAAGAGCAAGTGTCTTTTTTTTTCCTTTGAGTAAATACCCAGTAGTGGGATTGGTGGATAAAATGGTAGGTCTGCTTTTAGTTCTTTCAGGTATGTTGATTCTACTTTCCATGGAGGGTCTACTAGTTTGCAGACCCACCCACAATGTGTGCATGGTGTTGGATACATTTTTTTCTCTCCACATCCATGCCAGCATCTGCTGTTTGGGGACTTTTGTATGAAAGCCATCTTCACTGGTGTTATCTGGTGTTCCACATGATTTTGATTTGCATTTCCCTGACGATTAGAGACATTGAATGTTTTTTCATATGTTTGTTGGCTATTTGTCTATCTTCTTTTGAAAAGCTTCTGTTGATATCTTTTGCCCACTTTTTAATGAGGTTGTTTGATATCTTCTTGATGATTTGCATGAATCCTGTGTAGACTCTGGTTGTTAGCCCTTTATTGTGTGTATAGCATGAAAATATGTCCTCTCATCCTGTAAGTTGTCTATTCACTCTATTGATTTTTCCCTTAGTTATGCAGAAGCTTGTTCACATTTATTTATCTTTGTTGTTGCTGTGATTGCCTTTGGGGTCATCTTCATAAATTCTGTGCCTAAGCCATATCTATAAGCGTTTTATCAACCTCTTTTTCTCTTTTTTTTTTCATGTTAGACGGGTAATGTGCTGACATCATAACAAGATTTGTAGGAGGCACATCTCTTGCATGAACGTGAAAACTCAATCATCCCGCTTATGAACTACAAATGGATCATATCAACCTCTTTTCCTAGAATTCTTACCACTTCATGCTTTAGGTTTAAGTCTGTTATCCATTGTGAATTATTTTTTGTGAATGGTGAGAGGTACAGATTCTATTTCAGTCTTCTACAAGAGGCTATCCAGTTTTCCCAATTATTGAATAGCTCTTCTTTTCCCCCATTGCATGTTTTATCTGCTTTGTCAAGGATCACAATATGAGGATGGTTATACCTGGTTTCTCTGTTCTGATCCATTGCTTGGTGTTTCTGTTCTCTTGCCAGTACCATGCTGTATGGGTTCCTATAGTCTTGTAGCATACCTTGAAGTCTGGTGAAGTGATGCCTCCTGATTTGTTATTTTTGCTTAAGGTTGTTTTGGCTATTTGGAGTCTTTTCTGGCTCCATACTAAGCATAGAATTGTTTTTTTCTAGATCTGCAAAAAGTGATGTTGGAGATTGCACTAAATATGTAAATCACTTTGGGCAGTACAGACACTTTATTAATGTTGATTCTGCTCATCCATGAGCATGGTATGTTTTTCCATTTGTTTGCATCTTCTGTAACTTCCTTCCATAGTGTTTCGTAGTTCTCCCTGCAGAGGTCTTTCACCTTCTTGGTTAAATACATTCCCAGGTATTTTGTTTTCTTTGTTGCTATTGTGAAATGTATCATGTTTTTGATTTAATGCTTGGCTTGACTGTTTTTACTGTATAGGAATGCTACTGATTTGTGTATATTGATTTTGTACCATGAGACTCTGCTGAATTTATTTATCAATTCCAGGAGTCCCTTGGAAGAATCTTTGAGATTTTCTAGATAAATCATCAGCAAAGGTGATGATTTGATTTCTTTTCCTATTTAGATACCCTAGATTTCCTTCTCTGTCCTAATTGCTCTGGCTAGGACTTCTAGCAATATGTTGAACAGAAGTAGTGACAGCAGGCAACCTTGTTGGTTACAGGTCTAAGCAGGATGCTTTCAATATTTCCCTATTCAGTATGATGTTGGCTGTGGGTTTATCATATATGGCTTTTATAATGTTGAGATAATTTCTATGTATGCCTATTTTGTTGAGAGTTCTTGTCATTAAATGGTGTTAAATTTTATCAAATGTTTTTCTACTTCTATCAAGAGGATCATATGGTCTTCGTTTTTGCTTCTATTTATGTGGTGAATTACATTTATACACTTGAGTATGTTGAACCATTCTTGCCCATGTGGGATGAAGTCCACTTGATCATGGTCAATTACTTTTTTGATGTACAACTGAACTTGGTTTGCTAGTATTTTATTGAGAATTTTTGTGTCTATATTTATAAATGATATTGGTGTATAGTTTTCTTTTTTTGTTATGTTCTTTCTTGGCTTTTGTAAAAAGATGATATTGGCTTCATAGAAAAAGTTGAGGAAGAGTGCTTCCTTCTCTATGTTATGAAATAATTTCTGCAATATAGGTACTGGTTCTTCTTTCAGAGTCTGGTAAAATTCTGGTGTGGGACTTTTTAGCTGGGAGGTTTCTTATCACTGTTTCAATTTCATTACTTGATATTGGTCTGTTCAAGAATTCTGTTTCTTCATGATTGACCTTAGGAAAGTTCTGTGTTCTTAAGAATTTATCTATTTCCTCTATATTTTAAAGATTATATGCATAGAGATTTTTACAGTATTCAGAGATATTTTGTATTTCAGAAGTATCAGTTGTAATTTCTTTTTTCTTTTTTTTTTTTTTTTTTGCAATTTTTGGCCGAAGCAGGGTTTGAACCTGCCACCTCCAGTATATGGGGCTGGCACCCTACTCCTCTGAGCCACAGTCACTGCCCAGTTGTAATTTCTTTCTGTCATTTTTAATTCATCTTATTAAAATGTTTTCTTTCCTGTTTCTGGTTAATCTAGCTAGGAGTCCACTCTTCTCAAAGAATCAACTTTTTGTTTCAGTAATCTTCTGTATAATTATTTTGTTACTGAGTTCATTTAATTCTTCTCTAACCTTAGTTATTTCTTATCTTCTCCTCTGTTTGGGATTGGTTTGCTCTTCTTTATACAACTCCTTGAGATAATTCACTAGACTGCTGATTTGTAATCTTTATGCCTTTTGGATGGATTATGGCAATGAATTTTCCTCTTATGATTGCTTTTCTGTGTCCCACAGATTTTGATAACTTATGTCTCCTTCGTCATTTAGTTCAGAGGATCCATCTTAATTTTCTCCTTGATCCAACTATCACTGATAAGTAGGTTGTTTTATTTCCATGACTTTTATGGAGATTAGCACTCCTGTTGGAATTGATTTCTAGTTTTATTCCACTGTGGTCTGAGAGTATACATGGTATAATGTCTATATGTTTGAATTTGTTGAAACATGTTTTGTGGCCTGGGATATGATCAATCTTAGAGAATTTCCATGAGCTGATGAGAAAAATGTATATTCAGTAGTTTTGGAGTAGAATGTTCTGTAAATGTCTGTTGGACTCATTTGTTCTAGAATTCTGTTTAAGTCCATTGTTCTCTGCTTATTTTCTGCTTAGAGGATCTTTCCTGTTCTGTCATGGGTTATGGAAGTCCTCAGCTATCACAATGCTTTTGTTTATCACTTTGTGTAGAAGAAGTAGGGTTTGCTTTATGAATCTGGTCACACCTGTATTAGGTGCATAAATATTTAGGATTATTATGTCTTCTTGTTGAATTATTCCCTTCACTATTATATAGTGACTATCTTTGTCTTTCTTTACTCTTATAGATTTGCAATCTATGGTATCCGCTATGTAGATTTTTGTTTCACATTTGCATGGATTATTGTTTTTTATTTGCATGGACTATTGTTTTCCATCCCTTCACCTTGGTCTAAATGAGTCTTTGTGACTTAGATGTGTTTCCTGGAGACAACAGATACTTGCTTATATTTTTTTATTGATTCAGATGGCATATGTCTCTTGAGTGGGAATTCAAGCCTTTCACATTTATTGAAAGAATTGATAAATAGAGCAGATTTCTGTTTATCCTTTTCAGTAGATCTTTATTACTTTGTTTTACCTCTTGAGTCATTGTTGTATCTGGGCCATGACCTTTAGCTTTTGGTTGTTTTTATACTGGTGTGTGTTTATTGTCTGACCTGTGTATAATGCAGTACTGAGTACTTCCTGCAGGGAAGGTCTGATCTTGACAAATCCCCTCAGCGTTTCCTTGTTTGGCAAAATCTTTATTTCTCCCTCATATAATAAATTTAATTCTGCAGTATACAAAATTCTAGCCATTATTCTGTTGAGAAGATGGGGAATGGACCCCACAATCCCTTTGTAAGGGATTATAAAGTTTTAGTTGAGAAGGCCACAGTTAGTCTCATGAGTTTTTCTTTGTAAGTTACCCAATGCTTTCACTTTATGGTGATTGCCTCTTGGCAATAAATCTCTTAGAAGTCCTTTGCACTTCTAATACCTGAATATCCACATTTCTGCTAAGACCTGGGAAAACCTCAAATAGGTGCTCCAGTCTTCATATATTTTCTTTTTTACCCTTAGGGATGCCTATGATTCTTATGCCAGGTCTCTTTACATAATCCTAAGTTTCTTATAGACTTTGTTCATTCCTCTTATTTCTGTGTTCTTTCTCTTCAATTGGCTTGTTTAGTCTTCTAGCTCTGAGATTCTTTCTTCTGCCTGATGTAACCTATTCTTAAGGCTTTCTTCTGTGTTTTGTATTTTCTTGAATAAATTTTTATTTCCAGAAGTTCAGCTTGATATGCTTGATTTTTAATAATTTGATTTCTTTCCTTTTTTTTGAGATGAAGTTTCACTCTATCACCCCAAGTAATGTGTCATGGTGTCATAGTTTACAGCAACCTCAAACTCTTGGGCCCAATTGATCCTCTTGCCTCAGCCTCTCAAACAGCTGAGACTACAGGTGCCTGCCATAAGTCTCAGCTAGTTTTTCTACTTTTAATAGAGACAGGGTGTCACTCTAGCTCAGGGTGGTTTCAATCTCCTGTGCTCAACAATTCACTTGCCTCAGCTTCCCAGAGTGCTAGGATAGTCATTAGCTATCATGCTTGGTCAAATTTGATTTCTTTACTGAATATTTCACTCATTTCCTGCATTAATATTGTGCTTCCTTTGTATTCGTTTTCTATTTCCTCTTGCATTTGCTTGAACTTCTTTAGAATCCATATTTAAAATTCTACACCAGTCCTTTCAATATTCTCATTTTTATTGGTTTCCATTGGTATGAAGTTAGTGTTTTCTTTTGGGGATGTCCTTTCACTCTGACTTTTCAGGTATATGAAGATATTTCTCTAGCACCTTCTCTTCTGAAGAAACTTTTGCTTCTTATTTTTGTATTTTCTTTTGTTTAGATAATGGCACACTTAATTTAATCTCTGAGATAGTAGGTGGTGCTTATGGGTGAGACTCAACCATCCTGTATGATTGAGTCAGTAAATGCTGTAAATAGCATGCATATTGACCACCTTGTCAGTAGGTGGCTCCTGATGGAAGTCACAGGTTGCCATGTTGTTTTGAGTCCTATAACTTGCTCTAGTCCCTCAGGTGAAGCACTTGATTTCAAACTGGTCCCAAGCTGCCCACAGGGTGCCCAACCAGCTTTAACATCCCTCCACTTTAGGGCTTGCACAGGGCATTCCCTGCTCTGTCATGATGACTCTACCATGGAGTCACCAGGCAGGCTGTACAAGGGAGAGCTGGCAGGCAGGGAGCCCATGTCTGAATATCCCTCAGTCTGAAGCCTCACCTCCAGAGGAAAGGTCTGAGCTCCTCCCTCTGAGGAAGCCCTGGCATGGTGGATGCTCAATAGAGAAGAAAAGCAGTTCCTGAGAGTTCCAGATCAATAGTCTCTCAGCAGTGATGGGCAGAGCAGGGGAAGGGGAGGAAAAGGTTCAGTGGAGGAGAGTTAGCACTCCGGTCACCTCTGTCCCTTTCTCCAGCTGGCAACCACCTAGAATATCCAGTCCCTAGAGTCACGCAGATCCCCCCAGACCCACCAGTCCCCTATGCCTCCTGTG